TATAATAGCATGTTCATTCATATTCCATAATCACAATATATATATATGTACTGTATATCCAAGTAATTGTAATATCATTGATATCATCATGTCCACCTAGGATAGAAGGGAGAAACAGGGAGAAACCGGTTCCGTGTTTCTCTCCACCAAACATGTGGGCGTGTGGCATCGCGCCATCCCACTGCAATCCTGATCCTTTCCAGGCAGAAGTGGATGCCTACCTGGTCACAGATTCACCCTCCACGTGAGGCGCGTCCACTCAAACGCGCGTCAACTTGCTGACTTGGTTGCGAAAAATGAGTCTTGGGAAACCCACCGTCGGTGGTCGTTGCCCACACGACACGAGTCTCTTTTTGGATGTGTTGCCTTCTATTTGGTGAATGGCCGTTCATCAAGTCTCTCTACCCATGAAGGATCCAGTCAAGCATTGGATGCCAAAACAAGCCATGTCAAAGTTCATTTCCTGGTTGCCATTAGTAAATTTCCAGACTTGCAGACTCAACTTGTTTGATCTACTGCTTCCAATGACGACCTGCAACGATCAGGGCTGATCATTGGCCAGTTGCTGTTGCTGGTTTCACAACTGTTGTTGTTTGTTTCGATTGGTGAATGATTGTATGTTGCTTTGGTAGAAACAAGGACATATGAAGACCTCATTGACTCATTGGCTCTCAGTTCTGGTGATTGATGCCCGGCACACCTTGCATGGAGGCTGGGAAGAATGCAGAACTGAGAACATCCAGGTGCGCTGAGAAGATCCCACCGCAGCGGAGTGTTTTCAGTGTTCAGATGGACGGCAGGGCCTGTGGGAAGATGTTAGATGTTGGGTTGTTCTGTAGGCCGACTCCCAAGTGCAACCCTCCAACATCCTTCCAATCCCCCAATGATCTGGTGGAATACCATTGAAAGATGGACGACCATCCAATCCCCCAACATGTGGGCCAGATGCAAACAAATCATGGTGTGTGAACAAGCTTCGTCTCACGAAGTGCGCTGTGTGACCGAGACACGGCTGTTCACGGCTCTGAGACGTGACACGGCGGACTGAGTCCGTCAAAACAGGCCCACACGTTCACTCTGGAAAACGAGGACTACCAGGGATAGATATCAAGCTAGCAGCTATAGGGGTTCAGATGACATGGACGCAATATGGGCATGCGTCAAAACCTGGAGCCCCAACACCATGTAGCTTGACCTCCCAGGTAGGTTAATCAAGTATCCTGGTTTTGACCCACCGCCATATGACGTAATGGAATCAGTGATTGCTCTGACACCCGACGTCAGCGCAGAGCTCCATCGCTTGGCTTTGCTGATGTCTGACTTTTCCGGTGTGTGTGTGTTTCTTTTAGGGGAAGCTCTTTGCTGGTTCCTTCAGCAAGACAAACCCGACTGGATGGTTTGTGACCTTGGGATGCTTTGCCATCCGCAAAAATGGTTTACCTCAGAAAAAGGTTGACACAGAAGGAAGATGGTCCAGAATTGAGTCAGGGTCAAGCATGTTATGAGCAGATTTGTTCGATTGATATCCACAAGTTCAATCTTGTTTGTACATGCATGTACGACATGGTAGGAAATCAACCTCCAACTGATCCAAACTCGGCTCTACAACACTCGACCATGTTTTGCAGACCGTGCAGAATCAGAAGTCGTGACAAGTTCGCTTCGAGGCAGGGAGAAGCTATGAGTATTTGGGCAGGACGGATGTTTCTGGAACGTTTATTCCAAGACGGGGCGATTGTTTCACTTGATAATAAATAATATATATATATATACACCCTCTGTGTAGACTTTAAAACAACTGGCGGATGCTTCAAAAGACGTGTCCCGCAAAAGACGTGCTTCAAAAGGACAAACTGTCCAAGACCAATGGAATTCAGAGATGCCCATCGGCCTATCGGCAGCCCGAGATTGGACAGCTGTCGTCTCGACCCACAGTGTTTGTGTACTTTGAATACTCTGTAAAATTGTTTCCAGACACTCGTGGACACTCATATCGAATCATATCAAGGGGTCTGGTGTCTCAAACTGAGGGACCAAAAGCTGCTTGGAGAATCTGGGGTTGTTCAAAATCCCCACGCAGGTTCATGACGACATGTTTTAAATCTTTTTGCATGCAGTGCAGGTTTGATTGTTGAAAATAAAGCAGGATACTCTGATGACCGCGTCCTAGCTCCAAGATGCAGTTGTTGTTTGTTTGGGCCAGCACCCGCTGTTTGTTTTTGCATGTTTTTGTTGGGTTCAGTGGCATCCTGGCATCCTCTATCTATCCTCTATCTAGAAGAAACAACAAGACAACGCGCAGTTCCAAGAATGCCCGAATTTACCCACATCCGGAATTGGGAAGCTTTACTTTAAGAACTCGACCAAAATCCAGTTGGGGCTCGAAAGGGGATCGATCCATTTGTCATCCACCTTCTCCAGGCCCTCCGAGGGCCCTCCGGGCGCCTCAGGCCGAGCTCGCCCGGATCATCCGCGATCGGCGTGATGGAAAAAAAGAGCGACGGAACGGGAACGGGCGCCCTCGGTGGCGGGGCCGCCCACGTGAAGGGCGGCCATGAGCCGCCGCCCACTGCATGGCCTTCGGAAAATAGGAAAGCTCGTGGCCTTGTTGAAGGTTCTTCCTGAACATGAAAGCAAGGCTGGCAAGGCTCAGGCAATAACAGGTGTATGTTTGAGATTGGATGAGATTGGTTTAATTGGTTTGAGAGTATTTCGGTGTTAAAAGAGGGTTTTGTCCTGCCCTTGGCCAGATGTTCAACGCCTACCAAAAAAAGACAGTCGACTTGTTGGTCCACACGGTCCGTCTCATTCTCCAGGTCATTCTCATTCATTCTGCCTTTCGGATCCGGATAGATGGACTCAGGCGGATCCGGAGCTTTTTCGAACCACATGAGTCCCCCAGCCGCTTCGGATCCGACTCGGTCAACAGAAAGGACGAACGGTCGGTATGTGAGCATTTGGAAAGGTCAAAGAACTAAGAAGATCTTTAAGACAAATGTAATATATGTATATAATTAATATGTATTTGTATGTTGTTTGTATATATACTATATATACTGAACGTATTATAAAGGTGTGCATGTGAAGCAAAGGCATAAATAGACAAAGGAATGATAGCAAATATACTATGCTAACTTGAGGCAATGGTTGTGCTTCTATTTCAATCGCTTGAATTTCCTCTTGTCTATTTCTAGGCTTGGATATTGAGAGGTTTCATATTAAGTCCAAAGTGGACTTGGTGTCCAACACCCTTGGCTCAAGGTCGTGGAGGACCTCACCTAGTCGCATAGGAGTCCAAGCATCCAAGGAGTTGATTTGTGTTGACAAAGGATCGCTAGGCTAAGGCTAAGGTACTGAAACACGGTCGTGAGAAGACTAAGAAGAAGTGTCAACCACCCATCCTTTCCCCAGCCTTGCAGCCACCCCGTTTTCAATGGCAGACTTCAATTGGGCCAAGTAGGGTGCAGCCCTTACTACACTCCATCCTTGAAATTCTCAGATAGTTTAGACAGGAATTATCCTCGCAGTGATCTCCCTGCACAAGACTTTTGTGGGGGCAAACATGGCTTTTGCAAGAGGCTCGCGCCCGGCTTCAAACAAACACACCTGCGTGTGTTTCGCGATTCCGGAGTTGCAGCTTCGCGATTGCCAGCGTTTGCAGTGGAGTTGGGAGATTCGTCTCGAAGCGTCGAAGCTGCCGGATCACCTCAGACATTTTAGAAAGCTTGAATATAAACGCACATGTGTTCACACACCGTGTTGTATAGGTTGTCTTGATCACCCACTTTAAAGTCTTGCGCATGTCTTCATAACTTGGGGAGCAGAGGTCTTTTCTTCTAAGCCTAGGGGTTGCTATGATGGGCATGAATGAACATGGCGAGTTCCTGGAATCATTGATATAGGGATGTGGCATGTAAGGCGTTTGGTGCTATATTCTGGGAAACCCTTCGAAGAGAAAAGCTGACAACCCCAAAGCGGTACTTCTACATTGGTGAGAAACAAACATGTGTTTTTGTTTTTCAGACTTGCATTGTCTTTCCTGCGTTGCTCGCTCGTCGTTCAGGTGCTGTTTCTATTTGTATATATATATATTCAACCTGCATCAGTCAGGGAATTGTGAGATATGATGAGAACTCAAAGGGGAATAAGAGGATTTATGATGGATTCATGGAAGTAACATCTTAAGAACAAATACAACGATTACAGTAGCAGAAAGGTTGGAATGTCTTGCCTTGTCTTGGGTTTTGCCTGGGGAATTGTTGCCCCAATTGACTCACCCTCTTTGGTGGATAGTTGCACATATTCTGTTTACACATGTAGATAAATCACCAAGCAGATACCCAGAGGTTCCGAACTCACCCAGTTCCAGCTCGAGTGGGAGGCCGTTTGGAGCAGGTCTTGGCGGCAGCCAAAGGCGGGAACAGCCCTGTTGACGGCCGAAAACACCGCACAGGTTACGATGGTTTTTTTTGGTCCCACCCCAGTTCCTGCCAAAACGACTGTTTTTACCGGGCGTTCGGCGTTCGGTCCGTGTATGTTAATGTCTGGGTTCTGCAGCATGTGCATATTGAGTATACAGACGACATAGAACTATAGCTAGGGTGTTCATCACAAACTGGATGTCTACAGTAGACCCATTGTATTTAGCGTGTGAACTGTTTGCAGCAAAAAACAACAATCGGATTATTGAACCTCCTTCCCTCCTTCCCCCCGTTTGTTTTCACAGAAGCCTGGTGGCACGTCCACAGCCGAGCAGCATGCTTTCCGAGAGCGTAGAGCTGCAAACCGGCGTTTGTTCGTTCTGAGTTACGGACGGATGCTTTGAGGGCCATCGAATCTCCCCTTCTCAGGCCATGCTCCAACTTAAGTGACCCACATGACCCCAACGCTGCAACGCTGGGTCACTTAGTAAGGATCCGTTTGCGTTTTCCTCAAACAAAAAGCATTGCTTTGAAATTTTAAGGCCGTTTAAGGTTAAGTAGGTTTCTATGAATTCATTTGCTAAGCAAATAACTTATTTGCTTAGCAAATGAATTCATAGAAACCTACTAGCGATGGCCTCCAACCCCAAGAGCGATGGCCTCCAACATGTTTCAACATGTTTCACATGCCCATTGCTGGGTGAAGGACCTCCAGAGCGCTGGGGAACGATCGGTTGAACATGAACTACTCAAGTTTCAGCTTGTCCCTCAGTCGAGCTCGATTTGTATCACTGGCCGCTCCCTTAAAAGTCATGATTCCAAGGTGACACCCACATGGTCTCTAGTCTAAGGGAAATGCAAAAATCTCCGGTTCCTCCCATGAATTTTCAGTCAGCCGGTGTGAAGCTGAAGAACAGCCGGACCGTTTCGAGCTCTCCGGTTCCACGGTTTCCTCGTGCCAGGCAAGGTTCAGGAGCCGGAGCTGTCGGAGGAGGAGAAGAAGCTGAAATGGGTGGAGGAGGCGATGCTGGGAGGAAAGAAGGATGAAGGTTGAATGAAAAAGAGAGGAGTTTGGTCCGGTTCAATGTTTTCAGCTGTACTATATATGGTTTGTTAGAGAGGGAAACGCCTCGCTCAGTTCTAGGATGAATCTTCTTTTTGCATGGGAATGATAACATAAACTTGTGAAAACGGTCTTGCAACCTGATCCTCAATTCTTGGATCGGTTGTAAATTGAAACATGTTTGAACCCTGCCCGAGATGCTGCCTAAGAGAAGAGTTGGATGGAGACCTGACTGAGCGCATTTCAAGTGCCAGCGATTTCATTCCAAACTCACTTGCGGCAGGGAAAAACGAACACTTCCATTCAATAAGACCCGAGTCGAGAAGCGTTCCCGACCGCCGTGGCGTGAACGGCCCGGCGACCGCGCCAGACCCGCGTGCGCTGGCGCAAGACCTACGCGAGGCGTCATGAGGAACTGCGACTTGGCACCGCTCCAGTCGTCGTTTTAATTCTCCCGGAGACGCCCGAAGGGATCAGATAGCTCAAGCCTTAAAGGGATTGGCAATTCCCAAGGTGCGTGGGAGAATTCGTGGAGGCTTTGCCCCCACCTTTTGAGGGATCTACGCCTTTCGAATGATGTGAGTTTTTGAAGAGATTTGATCCATAGCTGCTTCCCCAGCCGATCAGCGAAGAGAAGCACTTGCGAAGCTGATGAACCCGTGTTTGACCAGACCTGTGTGCACCCCGGTTCCCCCATGTTCATCCATGTTCCCCTGTTGTCCCGATTAAGAGAGCCACATGCGGACCTGAACCAAACCGGCCGGCCGGCCTCCCCGTGGAGACCGTACTGCCCGACACCGGGTGTCGTGCGGGGCCATTTGGACCAACGATTCCTTTGTATTGTTTGGTCTCGAATCTGAGCAAGGCCAAAAACCTCCCAAGATGAACTAAGTAAAGGCCTTGTCGTATGGAACTTGGGGAAAGTTATAGGGTTTAATCGGTTTAATCATACGTATTTGGCCCAGCTCATCTGGTAATTGGATGGTGATTTATTGGACGAACCAGCATGGCTGGGCTCAGATGTCAGTCATATGTCAGTCGTATACTGCCATCCTTTACAAACCACACTCGAATTGAGGAAATGCCTGGGGTGGATGAGATGCTTTCGTCGGTCGTTTGAGTCGTTTGGTACAATCCACAGCGCCTGCGGCCGAATCCCAGGAACCAGCTCGACGGGACGAATCCCAATGACGTGTCCTTCACGAGGTGGGGTGTCATGTGACGGGCGACAGAGATCAGATGAGATCAGATCACCAGCATTTGTTCACACCATGATCTTCTTGTGATCTTTCCCTAAGGATCCTTGGACCCTCCTTAGAAGGGGTCGAACCCTCTATAACAAGGGTTTGTACCCTCAAGACCCTTGTTTTTGAGGGTGCGGATCCTTAAAGGGTTGCAATGTTTCTTTCCGTGCAACGCTCCCGGAGTCACATTGAGCAGACCAATCAGGAGCGGACCAATCAGCCGGACCGTGAGCGACCCAAAACCGCCGCTGTCGGTCCAAGCGACTCCAGCGACGTGTCGGACCGAGCCAATGCACGACTCGGGTGTTCGAACCGAACCGGCACGACATGGCCGATCGGATTTGAGTGAAACACGAAACCCCCGTCTTACACCGGTGTTTCATAAACAGCTCGCAAGCAAGCAAGCGCGTATAGAGTATGCAGTTGAACATGGCTTTGATTTGGTGGATATTCATGATGTGTTGGTTTTGTCGCAGGTGGCTGTGTCCCACTGGACGTGTGATGGAACGTCAAGAGCATCATGGCATCAGGCCGAAATCGGATCACCCTTGGTTTTGGTCGAAGGGAAGACAGATGGAACGAACGTAGCCTAGCTGGTGGTTAGGAGGGAGAAAAGGACCAAGCCGGGGTGTCTATATTTCCCCTTAAGGCCAAGGAGCTACGTAGAGTTCCCATTCATTCACCACTTGCATGTAGCCAGTCACCGGCTTTCCGTTTTCCTGTAGCCAGATGTAACCAGCCAAACAATGCCAAACACACATCCATGAAAGCTGGAATGAACATTAAATTAGTGATGAAACTGGCTTGGTCCGGAACGTCCCCATTTTTGGACCATAGCTATAGAAACACAATGCAACAAGATTCAGCCTTGCATGTCCTTACATGATCTATAGACGATCAAATAGATCCCCATGATTCCCCACAGTCCAGCCTACATATCACATCATATCACCATGATCTTGGTGGTCCTTTATAAAGCTTTTGTTGAATGGAAGACCGGGATACGTACGATCTTTTCAGGTGTTGATCCTTCTGAGGACCCCTGTCGACCCATCGGACCCCAGGGAGCGACACCTGAAAGTATGAGTTTTGCAGGGCAGTTTGGAGCGACCAGACATGATCAGGTCCGTGGGGGAACGTGCTAAAGAACCAAATCTGTGTTGGGCATGGCTCAGTGCACGGCTCATATCGCCGCATGATCCAAAAGCTACCCAAGTTAGGCCATTGATCACGCCACTGTTGCTTGGATACAGACCACTACACTTTGCGATCACTTCTGTTTTACCGCAAGAGTCTTGGTATCCAAGACTTCCCAGACTTACCGTGGCAAAGAGCTCGTGTTGGTCTCCCTCAGGACTCCGCCTCAATCGTCTTTCGTTTAATCTCACATCTTTGAAAGCCAGTTGAGTCATGTTGAGTCTGCGAGACACTTCACGACATGTTCACACGTGCTTTTGCTCATCAGGAATGCGCGCATACAAGAGGCCACCGGGCCAAATCGGGGCCGTGGGTGACTTGTCAACGTGGCTTCACTACAGGGTCGGGCCTTGAATATCTTGAATCCTTATAAGATGTTACAGCTTTGCTTAGCTGCTTAGCTTGGAGTTTTGGATAGTTTTAGACAATCTGTAGTTAAGGGAGGAATGGTGCCGCGCCAAGGGAATTCAGGTTGTTTTTTCTATTTTTCCCAGACACATGTTTCAATTCTCTGACAATAGTAAAACCATGTAAGAAATAACAATAAAACAACATATTTTGAACAATGTTGAACCATTAAGCTTACTGATACTAAGACTGAACTCGTTGAGGACGACCTGCCGCTGGCATCCACACATCCACACACCACGGGCTTGAACTGTTACAGCCCTTTGGCTTATGGGGATCCTTCGGAAGTCATGAAACGACGAATCGCAAACGATTTCGGTGTCACATAGGTCATGTTGAAGGTCATGAGATGTCCATCATGTCCCACATATTTGTCAACTTACACGTACTACAGGTGGTGTCACCGTTTTTTTTTCACTTCGGCATGGCAGTTTACCATACTTTACCGGCAATGCTTGTGAGGATTGTGAAGATAGGCTTGATCCATTGCGAGTGTTGGGGTTGTCGACCCGTTTCGCTCGCTTTCGGTCGGGACATGTGGGCAGATGTGGTCTGTGGAAGCACGGCAGCGGTGGCACGAGAAGAACCCCAAAGCCACGTCCGGAGCTGAGACGAGGGCCTGGGCAGGGGTCAAAACTAGAAGTTGTGCTGAGTTTTTAGATGGTTGTATTGTACATCCACATATACAAATATGTACTGTAATAATACTGGGCCTCGCATCAATTGAAAAGACTTGGACAAAACAGATGGCCTCTTCATTGAGGCAAGCATTATCACGAGCAGCAACTGTTCTCAGCAACAGACATGGAGGTGCTGTTCAAGCCCTACTTCCTGAGAGCCTCAAACAATTTGTTGGAATTTCGCAAACGATTGGACATTGCACGTCAGGTGTTGTTTTTTGATCCACTCTAAGTCATGGTGGATATGGATCCATCGTGACTCAAAGAGCTAGCTAGACGGGTCCCAAGTTCCAGCTTTTTTTTGAAATAGTCTTTGGCTTCTGCTTGAGAAAGCACGAGAGCACGGGGGTTGGCCCAAACTGGCAAGTTTGAGAAATGCTGTCCAGTTCCATAATCTTCCATAGCTCCAAGCGAAGCTTTAATTATCATCAGTTGAACAAGTTTTGATCCTTGGAAAAATCACTAAAATTGCATGACGTGTTTTAAGATTTGTTGCTGTATATGTTTTCTCGATCTTGGAAAAAGGCTCAACAAATGCATTATGTTAACATGCTAAAAGAAATGTTTTTCGATACCCCAAAAACACAAAATGATGTGTTTTAATGTGTTTTTGTTTTGTTATGTCTAAAGAGCATGCTTAATTTTGCGCGTTTGTTGAAAACCCTAGAAACGCTCCATGTTGTACTTTTTTCAGTTTTGCAGATTTCCTGCAAATTATTGACACCGGCCTAAAGCGTGTATATTAACTTAAAGATGTTTCTGCTTGAAGAGTCAGTCTGAAGAGTATGGTCCAGACTTATTCAGACTTATGTCTTGAGGGCCTATCGTCAGCTGTTAGCTTGTCATTCAGTTCAATGTTGGGATTTTGTTGCAAAGTCACGCAAAGTCTTAGGCCAAATAGATCATTGAACTTTAGACACCAGCATCTCAAGAACAGCCAGATAATGAACATGATAATCGATAGGCAGGACGTATTGGTTTCAGGCTTTATCAGGCTTTCATGCTGATTCGGGGTTTCCTCGAATTACGGGTGATCTATGTGCGTTTTGTGTCATTCCATCATTTTAGGCCAAAGTCATGACTGCTGGTTCCAGAATAAGTCAGAGCTTTAACAGAAACTGAGGTTGTGCACAGTGTAGAGCAGGTGTTCCATCATGAACTGTCCATCGGATCTCTATCTTCCATACCCTAGGGCTCCAAGCACCTTTTGAGAAGGTATTTGGACCCTCAGAAGGTACTTGGAGCCCTAGGGATATGAATGTGATTCCTTCATTCCCCACGTGACTCAGGTGGCGTGAAAAGGCTGTGGACCTGCATGCTGCGTGAGATCCATCCGAGATCCATCCAGCGCTGAGGAGAGCCACAGCGTTCCTTCTCCAGGGTGTGTTTTCCATGGTGGGAAACCGGGGAGTCTGGGGGATGCCACAAGCAGAACTTGAAGCTTGATTGCCCTTTTATAAAACAGGGTGCTAATATATACTGTATATATATATACATATTTAATAACTAAATAAATTGATTTGTTTATATAGAAACACAAAAGGCTTGTGTGTGTGCATAAAAGCGGCCACAACAAATATACAGGCCCACCCAGGGCCCAGAAATGGGCGCTTGGTTACATGGCCTACCGAACAGATTTTTTGGCTTCGTAAGGGCATTAGTGCCTGTGATTTGCACAGGTGGCAATGTGCATAGAATGTGCGCCAGTGTTTCGTCACTTTGACTGAACAAGACCTATTGACATCTAGCTTGATGTGTTGTGCCAGGGTCCTGAAGCCCTTTCAAAGGATCTTTGTGAGTAAATGCGAGCAAGGGATTTGTGTTTGACAAACATGCTCTCTCGACCAATTCTGCACATGATCATGTTGGAGTTTGAGTGCTCAGTTGCAACTGGAAACATCTCCAACTGGAGTTGGATCTCAAGGCAAGGCTGCAACTAGACCGCAACTCGATTCACTAGGCCGCAACTTGTGGCTGCTGAGTGATGTCTCGTTGCATCTTAAAGATGTCGAGTCAGGTCACTGAGCGGGCGACAAATCCGACGTCTTTTTGGGACATCGATCGACGTATAGGACAAGAAATAACCAGTATATGGACCAACGTTCAGTCAATAACCGCCAGTAACCTCCAGGTCCTGAGTGCTTTCGGATTGGGAAGGGCGCGAGGCCATGTGTCGGATGACGGTGTCCTGTGGATCGCTGGTTCCGGTCACAGAATGCAATGTGTTTCATCGGGTCTTTGGATTGGTGGGGTCAGGATGGGTCAGGAAGCCCCTTGGAAAACGTATGTGTTTTTCTTTTTTTTTTAAGTGCTTCTGTTGTTGTTGTTGTTGTTGTTTTTAAATATATATATTATAATAACTTAACTGCTGCTGAACACCTCTGATGCAGCGATGACCCCTCACGTGTATCAACTGGCGTATGCCATAACCGGCCGAGCATGATGTCGCTCCTTGAATGGGGCTAATTGACAAGTGGGATAGTGGGTGTGTTTTTTAGCAGGGAGATCCCCAACCAATGGGCAACCGGTCTACTTCCCCTCTTCCATGGGGTTGAACTGGGAGGTCTCCTTATTTTAACATTACCCAAGCACCAGACCTGTGGCGAGCTCTTCGCAGGCTCATCTCTTGGGTCAGCAAACGATGGGATTTGTTGCCCGAATTTTCCGCCAGGGTCCACCATGGCTTTCTGCTGCATTCGCAGGGATGCGAGATGCTTTCTGGAGGTGCGCAAGATGTGTGACAGGAACAAGACTACGCAGTACATCGCAGTACCAAGAGCTACTTTGGACCCTAAGGCTACCCGACACCATGAGTTGAACTAGAGATGTCATCTAGAATGAGTTGATGAAACTACTCCTTCAATCAATCATCAACCCATCAATCCATGCCAACCCCATGAAGATCGATTAGAAGAATTGAAATCACAGAAATGTGGAATGATACTCTACCAAGTCAAACCGATTGATCATGTCAGGTGTTTGAAAAGAGCACACGCATCCATTCTGGTCTGAATTATTGAACGGATATGCCGTGGACTTTGCTGTTATACGGCACAATGCGTCAGCATCCACGAAGAATTCTGCAATGAACATGTAGGGAGCCAGGAGTTGCTTTTTTTTTTCCAGCAGCCATGGCCCGTCCAGAGACCATCGGGTTGTTTTCGTTCAGATCTGCGCACCGTTCGAGTTCAGCCCCCAAAGGGGGTGCTGGAGATTTCGCCAGAGCGCGCACGCAAAAGAGAATCGTCCCAGTGTCGACATCCCAGAGTGACTTGTTCGACTCGGTGCTGGAGCAAAAGGAAATGGGTAACCGGGTAACCGTAAGCTTTAATGGGGTCATGTCATGTTACGTATGTCATATCATCTATATACCTTTTTTTCTATACCTTGGGGATGTCCCACTACCTGTAACAGTCCGTAGTCAATTAATTACTGTATAGCTATTTTGGAGAGAGGCCTGCAACTTAGCCATCATTATCCACTGGGCCCAGGGAAGAAGGGGATACTATAAACCCAACCAATCCAACTAATGTTAACATCGCAATAATAAACCTCCCCCCTCGTGGATTCAGGGAACCCACAATTTGTTTGTCGTAATAATAAACTATATACTCGCTATGATAAACCTCAGACCGTAAGACTATGACAGTTTTCTTTATGTTTTAAATTGATCACAATTACAATCAATTCAACCACTGATTAATTCAATCTGGAAATATGTTTATTATTGGCAGGTGAAATGTATGGTTTGGGTCTTCCTAAGGGGTACTCTTTGCGAACACTGTTCTTTGTTGTTTAACCAGCATGTTATAAAGAATTTGATTGTTTCGAGCTAGGTTTAGTTTTGATTTAGCTGAGACAATGTAGTTAGCTTTATAGATGTAATGTTTAATAAACTGACTTAACATATAAGTCAATTAACTACTGTTTAAAAATGTTTAACGTAGGTTTATTGTAGAGGAGCAAGTCAAGTTTATAATTTTATTGACAGTATATACTCATAATTGACACTGTTTATTTTTGTTAGAGTTTATAATTGTGTCGCTCTTGACTTCAACGTACTGAAAAAAAAGGGGGCAAAAGGGTTTACTATTGACTCTTGACAGTCGTTAAATTTGCATTGTGATGTGAACATTGCATTCAAAATAGACTCGGTTACTGTGAATTGTACAGTAATATAAACGACGACGACGCTCGTGTTACTTTCCGGTCGTATGACTCCACTCCTTTCGGCTGACCGAACTGATTCATCCACTTTCCGAGACTTTCGAAGCTTCACCCTTTGGAGCTGTTGAACAAGGGAGCCATGGTGAACACTTAAACATCAACTCAGACTGGTTGACTCAATGGTTATGCTTCAGTGACTTGGGCATTTGGTTTGGCGTCGTTTTGTGGTTCAATTCCAAGTCTTTCATATTTCTGAAATGGCTTGGCCATGGGTGTGTGAAGGCAGTGATGCTTCCAAGTGAGAATGGTTGCCACAGATATATAATATGCATATATATTATATTATAATTATGTAATATTTGTATATATGTGGCTTGCAACCCTTTGATTTCAGCTTTGCGACATCAGCAGAACATGACTCTGAGAGAAGCTCTCCTTTGCCTCTCGTTGTCTCTCTCTCTCTCTCTCGCTCGCTCTCCATCAATCTCTCCATCTCTCCACCTTTCCATTCACACGACACAAGCTGCGACCAAACCCGAGCGGCTTTGTTCGGTTTTCGTTCCTTGACCTGTTCGGAAATCCGTGGGAAACCAAAGGGGGTGTGGGAAGGATCTACATTAATCCCAGGATCCTCTTGAGAAGGCGCCTCTTGTCATGCGGTTGGGGTGTGAACATGGTCAGTTTTGGAGGGTCCATCCTGGCCTTATGAGAAGGGATGTGGACCCCAATTCATCCCTTTAGATGTCAGCCTTGTTTTGTACTAAGTCATCCCCCCTATTCACCACTCTCCCAGTCTCCGATGTTGGTTTTTTTGGTAACGGTTTCCTGAGCCAGTTGAGCAGCGTTTTCCTTTGCTTCCAATCCTCACGAAGCGACCAACAAGTTACGTCCGACTCGCAGCGCGGTGGGCTCGATGTTGCGCAGCGCCTTGAGCCTCATGTCCAGGCGTGTTAGAGATCGGTGATTTGGATGGATACGGGGGATGAGAATGCCGACTAGTCTTTCAGAAACCAGGAGCAACTGGTGATTTCACCATCCTCATACGGCCCCAGCACCTTGTACTTCCTATACCCCCCTTCCCCACGCTCATCTGGCTTTTTTCGGCTTAAACCAGGTGCCGACCTGGGGACGGGGGGCTCGATTTGAAACATGTTCGCTTGCTGCTGCATGGACGAGCAGCGGAGCACTCTGAGGCCCCCCAGTGGATCGGGTGTTTTTCAACACCGGGTCGGACCGGCGATCCACCCTGGAGTTGCTCCGTGTTGCTCCGACGCTTTCCTGTCCGGGAAGGATCAGACAGGAGAATCGCCCCGCATGTCGGACAAAGGAATGTTCTGGAGTCATTGTTGCCCCAGTGTTTTTCTCGTAACACACAGAACCAAGAAGAGCACAGACGCGTGACGTGATTCTGGAACTTGGACATTTATATATACCAATGACTCATCAAATTACAGATGTTTACAGTACTTGTTTCTACATCAACTCATTCCAGATTTATGTTCTTGCTCCAATATTGACGTGGCGGCTCAAAACACGCGGAGATTTAAATACAAAAACAACCTCCCACTTTGGCTTATTTCGTCAACCTACGGGTTGGTCGGGAGTTAAGCTTTTTCAAGAAGTTAAGGTCCAACCCAGTTTTCATAGCATCAATTAAGGTGTTCCAACAACTAATCAGCTTCAATTGGTTTCAAATCCTTAAGTATTTTGGAAATATCTTAACATTTGAAATTCTTTGAACATATATCCGTTCCTGTGTCTACCCCTCCCCATCGGCCGCATCTAGTGCTTTTTTGCCACAGAAGTCACTGGTGCCACGTCCCCACTCAGACCTTCTGCCTTTTGGCTGCAGGTTCTGACCCCTGTGCAAGATATGAATCTCGCTTCAAACTCAAAATCTCAGTGATGAGGTGCTCCTTCTTGTAGGTTTTGCACCTCTTACACGTCTCTGCGTCTGCCAGATACGACAGGCAACCCCTCAGCTCTGGAACCTTCATGGCCTGAAGGCGCTTCTGCTCCTCCTTCTCCCACAAGTCCAGGTCACGCTTGCGTTGCTCCTGGCAGTGGCCGGGAGTTGGTGACGAAAGCTAGCAGTGAATGCTTCCAAAATGAATGGGAGCGAGCCCCTACTAGCTTCCTTGCTCCTAGTAGTAAGGCCAGGAGCCCCTAGTAACGTCCTTGCTACTAGTAGCGATGCCAGGAGCCCTATAGCTTCCTTGCTCCTACCAGCCATGCCAGGAGCCCCTAGTAATGTCCTTGCTAGCGGAAATTGAGACAAAGGCGTCCCAGGGAGGAATTGAACCCAACTCCAACTAGTTGGTGCTAGCTCTTGTGAAAACACACAACTAACAACACCAACCAACCAACCAAAGCAGACAATATGTGAGCGATAATCAAAACCCTTTTATAAAACGTTGATAATAGGTGTCAAGGTCCCGGTATCGCAGTTATTTTGTGTTATCATGTTATCGTTATCGTTTTCCAAAGAAAACAATGCAATGAATGAAACGTTTTTTTGTGTCAGTTCTGGTATTGTTTTCCAGATGAGGTGAACACTTTCGAAAGTAGTCATGTCCACTACAAAATCCGCCAACCCTCTACAGAGGGAAAGGATGGGAGAGGTGAGAGGTGAAGTGTGGCGGCAATGACCTCAAACCTTTTTGCGTTCTGAAGTCTGAAGTGCACTTATTCCCATAACATCAAAGCCGCAGCACGCACAGTGCGCTTGTTTGTCAACTCCCTGTCGGTTAAAGTGCAAGGACCATCTAGTCCCCTGTTGTTTAGTGTTTTTCCTTACAGTGTGATCCAAACAGCCCATGCTCCCCTTCCCGGCTGCAGCTGCAGAGGCAGCAACAAGAGCACACCACAGGACTGACACAGAGAGGGG